AATTGATAAATTCAAATCAAACTTTTAATTTTAATTAGATGAATAGACCTTATCAGTAAAATTATCACTCATAGACTTCTAACTATAACACTGGTTATAAAAGTTATGGCAGAGGTTATGGACGTGGTAGAAGCAAGTCGTTTTTCTATGGTAGAAACAAAAATTATAACAACTAAAATTATGAGAATTATTCGCAAGCAACTTACAATGGGAATGGTGGACCAGGAGTTCAAGATGAAAGGCAAGGCCAATGCGAGAATATGAATAGCTAAGAAGGAATAGAAGAAAATGCTTTTGGTCAAGCAGACAACAATAAAAAAAGAACTTTCAACTAATTGCAATAAGAGACTAATTAGCTTAAAGTTGAGAATCTTGGTATTAGCGAATATGACTTTTCAGATAATAAACCAGTAAAACGATCGCGTAAAAAAGCTTCTGATGAGTAATATGAAATAAAAGATGAGTATGACTTTAGTATAAGCTAACAGTAAAAAAGATAGTAAAAGTAACCACAATTATAAAGTTAATGTACTCAGAGCTATTTTTAGTAATAATTAGAAATTTCTCCTACTAAAAGTGTAAAGAAAAAAGTTTAATTCTAAGGGGAGGATAATCAAGGTGAAGAAACTGATGCTACTGAACATGCTGAACCTGGTCCGAAATATGTTCCAATTGATAATGAAGAAGTTAAGAAAATTGAGAAATCTTCTTATACTCAGAAAAATACAGTATACTGTCATGCTTTTGGATATGCAAAGATTATTGATAAGTAAATTAAAGAAGAAACAGGAATATCTAGCCCTACTAAGTACGCAGGAAGTTATAAATTACCACAAGATAGATAGTCTAGACAAGAGCCATTTAATTCTTAATAGAAAATTAAACAAGAAACAGTACCGTTTGGCTAGGCTTAGCCAAACTCAACTCATAATAATTACATTTAAAATCTATAAAACAATGTCAACCAAAATTAAAATAAAAGTCATCAAACTAGACTTCAACTTACATAAAACATCCCATAGATAAAAACAGAGATAGTAATGCCTTCATTGCCTGATTAGATCTCATAGAGTTAAAGCACTAGAAATACTAACACAGCACACAATAATAACAATAATAATGGGAATAATAATATGAATGGCAATAATAATAATGGAAACTCAACTTTAAATAAATTCATGAATTAATAATTCAAACCATAACAATATCAATTACCTGTAACTAACAACAATGGGCAACCTTTATCCGAAAAGTAGAAAATTGGAATTGAGCTGTATAATATGCATCAACAAAATATGAAAGAAAAAAATCATATTTTGTAAAATATCAGGAATGCTGCTGAGTTTCAAGCATTACCATGGTTTCTATAACCTGATAAGGTATTAATTATTTAGTGATATTATATAATTTTAGATTCTAGATATGAATAAAAGACGCCCAGGAAATCCATAGTATGACCCAGGAACTGTTTACATTCCGGTTTAAGAACTTGCTAAATTTTCTCCATTTTTAAGATAGTATTGGAGTTTAAAGCAAAATCACTTTGATAAAATTCTTTGCTTTCAAAAAGGAAAATTTTACGAGTTATATTACATTGATGCATTAATTGGTCATCATTATCTAAAGATTGCTTGGAGTGGAGGATCAAATGCCATACATTTCCAGCAAGCAATATCTTGCGGTATTCATGAAAATAATCTAAATAAAGTTTGCTAAGAATTTATTGATCTTGGCTTCAAAGTTGCAGTTATTGAATAAGCTGAGGATAAAAGAGAAGTAGATGAGAGAATTAAGGCATAACATTTGATATTAAATGCTAGAGCCCCAAGAACGCCTGATATGCTAGTAAAGAGATAGATTAGTGGTATTTTTACCAAAGGAATACTTCCTTATGATCCAGGCTAATAAGATTATGAAGCCAAATGGATTTTATCACTGTATGTTGAGACTAGAAATCCGTTTGGAAATAATGGTAATGATAAAGATCGGAGAGATAAAATTGGTGTAGCCTTTTTTGATAATACAACTCTAACTCTCCATTTAGGCTAATTTGAAGAGGATATGCTATACTCTAAATTCAGGACACTTTTATGCTAAATTAGACCAAGAGAAATCATATTTGACAAAGAAAACATAAGTTTAGATATCGTTAAGATACTCAAAGAATAGCCTTTAACCCCAGATTTAAATAATATATCCTTGCAGCGGGAAAGAGTAAATAAAGACAAAGGACTTCATGTAAAATATCTTTATGTTAATATATTAGTTAGCTATTAAATATTTTGGAAATGATACATAAAAGTGGCCAAGAGCTCTTTAAGATTATAGATCGAACTAAGATATTTTTACACCTAGTTGGATATCATTTGCAATGATAATTATGTATTTGCAAAATGGATTAATAGCTGATCAAGTTGTTGGGTTGAGTGATATTCATAAATATGATCCTGATATGCAGTTAAAAACTTGTATGGAGATAGATAGTTAAGCGATAAAGTAGCTTGAGCTTCTAGAAGTTCCTGGTACTGATAAGCCTAAAAAGGAAGGTTCTCTATTCCATTATTTAGATCACACAAAAACTGTGTTTGGTAGGAGATTACTTAAGAAATGGATCAGTACGCCATTATTCGATGTTGATAAGATTAATACTAGACTAGATGCTGTAGAAGACTTACTTTCTCATCCAGATATGCTCTAAAAACTCTAAGATAAACTTAAAATGGTATGAAATTCTTCTATAAATTTATTTTAGCTTCCTGACTTTGATAAAGAATGCACAAATATCTATAAGCTTTCTACTAAAACAAGCATGACATTATTGGCTTTTGAAAAATTAGATATTGAAAGCCTCAGAGATTTCTATAATTTACTTGAGAAGATCAAACTTGTTGGAAATATTTTAGAGCTATTCAAAACAAAAAAAGAAAAATTTAAGTCACATAGACTTAAAGCACTTTTGACCATGAAGGATGTAAATACCAAAGCTAATGTAAAAACAGAGAGAAATCTTAAAAATGAGGATTAGAAACCTGATATAAATTTACTGGATAAAAAGAAATATCCAACAGCTATATTTCCTGAAATCCATAGCGCTATTGCTGAGTTTGAAGCTCTTATAATATGGAGCACAGGTAGTAACGGAGAAAAATTTCCTGAGCCTTTTGAGGGTTTTGATGCAGATTATGATAGAGCAAAATTTAGAATAAAAGATATTGAAATGAAACTCGATAAGCATTTATAAGAAGTTAGGTAAATGTTTGGATATTAAACAACAAAAGAAATAAAATATGTTCATTCTGTTCATCAGGTATTCTTAATATTTCTTAAACAAATATAGAGGTATATGCTAGAAGTTCCGAAAGTCCTTGTTGAAGGAGGAAGAAGACCACCTGATTTTGAACTAGTCAAAACATCAAATGCAGTAAGAAACATATCTCTCTGTTTAACTAAATATATAGCAAATTAATCAAAAATTTATTACAAGTAAAATTAGACTCTATGTGACTGAACTCGAAGATGCTGAGTACAATATCAAAATAGCAATAATGCCATTTATTTGTTCAATTTTTGGAATCTTCCAGCAAAAGAGAAGAGTTTGGTAGTAAATTACATCTTGCCTTGCAGAACTAGATTGTTACACATCCTTGGCGATTGTAGCTTAAACAGTGAGTATTAAAACAATAATTTTCACTATAGTCAGATGGAGTAATGTGTAGACCATAATTATTGAAATTATCGGAGAATTTTTAGAAGCCTTATTTAGAATTGAAGAAAATGAGGCATCCATGTGTAAATTTAACTTTTGTTCCAGGGTTGGAAATATCAGCTCATTTTACGAATGCTCATAGCCATTAAAAAACGAATACCTTTATACCTAATGACACTTCTCTAGGTAGAAGATATACAGATAAAGATAAATCCCCATCAAAATTAGATGATAAGTAGCCTAATATTCTTCTTTTAACAGGTCCAAATATGGGTGGTAAATCCACACTTTTAAGATAAACTTGTCTTGCTGTTATTTTAGCCCAGATAGGATCATTGGTACCAGCAGAAAAGTGTGTTTTGACTCCAGTTGATAAAGTTTTTACAAGATTAGGAGCTTCTGACAAGTTACTTGAAAAAAAATCTACATTTTATGTTGAAATGGAGGAGACAAAAGCTATCCTAGATAAAGCAACTCAAAATTCATTAGCTGTATTAGATGAACTTGGCAGAGGTACATCTACTTATGATGGATTATCCATAGCTGATGCAGTCCTTAACTTCTTGGCTGACAAAGTTGGAGTATGTTTATATAGTTTTTAAACCCTTATAGTGTCGAGCGCTTTTTGCAACTCATCATCATTAGTTATGCTCAAAATATGAGGATCATCCCTAAATTTAGAATGCTTCTATGTCCTATGATTTAGATATGAAGAAAAATAAGCTTACATACCTTTATCAATTGAGAATGGAAAGATGCGGATAAAGTTTCGGATTAAATGTGGCCTAAATAGCTGGTTTACCTGTAAATTTAAATTTATATTTAATTGTATTAGAAAAAGATAATAAACATGGCTTTGAGTAAATCATAGGAGCTAGAAGTTTCGCTAGAAGCTGTATATAAGAGGTATTTGGAAATAAAAAATAAAAAAGAAGTAAAAAAATTGAAAAAAGAGGTCAAATAATACAACAATAATAATCCTAATTAATTATGAAAATATAAACTCATTATTATTTTGTTTAATCAATTTTAATTTAATAGGAAGGGGTTTTGGGGTTTTGGGGTTTTGGGG